CCTCTTCTTTTTCTGCCATCTCTTCCTCCTCCTTTTTTCCTCCTCCTCCTCCTTTTCCTCTTCCTCCTTTCTTCCTCCTCCTCTTCCTTCTCTTCCTCCTCCAAGGGCTTCCTCTGCCAGGAGCCGATCCCAGCAGCCAGGGAGGCAGGCCTGGAGGCCACGCTCTGCTCTCCCCTGACCGCCTGACCCCTTGCCAAAGTTCAGGGCTTCCTAGAAAGCCTCTGCCCCTCCTGGAAGAGGAGGAAGGCCCTCCAGATGCTCCGGCCGTGACCTGGTCCCGACCCCCTGTTCCAAGAGGAGAGCCCTGCCCGGCCGCCTGCCCGATAAGCAGAGCTGGCACAGTCAAGCAGGATTTTCCCTAATCCGTTGGGAACTTCTGAGCGGCTCAGCCATAAAAGCGAGGTGACAGGAAGGTCGAGTTCCCTAACAATGCCGGAGCCTGTAATGTTTATGTGCAGAGGGATCCTTTTCCACAACAGCCAGGCCCTCCGATAAGGCCATTGTCAGCCAGACCGAGTCGCCTCTTTGCAGCTCCTCCAGGCAAGGCCTTCTGCCCAGCTGAATGAGAACATTTTTTTCCGGTGCCAGCTTGACCGCGGTCACCGGAGCCCCGAGCCGTCCTGCTCAGCAATTCCCCGCAGGGGCCTTTTCCCGTGGTCCCTCCGAGGTCAAACACAGGAAGGACACGGGGGGCGGGATGGAAAGCACCCCAATCCCTCTACGGAAGCACCTCAAGAGGCAGCCCCTGCACATGTGTGTACATACACACACGGACCCACACACAGGTTCTCCCCAAAGGCCACAATCCTGCCTAACCCCTGAAACCAGGGAGGCTACAAGGCACCCGTGGCTTCCTTCATGTCATACGAGAGTCCCTCTTGGGCCTACCGAAGAAAAAAGGGCTGCCCTGAAGAAGGTGGCTTGGCTCTCTTCTCAACCACACAGCCTATGTTCCTCCACTATCGAGGCCCACCAACGGGGCGCCTTGATTCGTGGGGCAGGCGAAAGGAACGGACCGGCCGCTTCCAGAGGAGAAGTTGCTTTCCTGGGTGAGGGGAGGAGACCCAGCGAAGGGTCAACACCCCCTGGAAGATCCTGCTCCCCCTCCACCTGGTCGCCAGTCCAGCTGCAGTCCCACAACATTCAGATCATCCATGCCACTTAAGGACTTAGCAAGAGACGAGAAGCTTGGCCTGGGTGCTGCTTAAGTGCTCTCGCTCTCTCCGCTGGGTGGTTTCCTTGCAAGACTTCATGACCCAAACCGGGTAGACTCCGCAACTGCAGTTACAAAATTCGTTTTGGTCTTTTGCGTTTTGGGATCCTTCAATCCCGTCAATCTACCTCCTCCTCTTTCCTAGCCATTGTCTGCCTGCTGCAGGACGGAGGCCTCTTCCGCCTGTTTCCAACCAAATAGGCCCCCAAGCTTACTTTGGCCAGTTGGGCCCGCAATGCTCAGCTGATGTGGTCGCTTTTGATCAAGTGGGATCCATTCCATGACCTCCTCGGTCCGCCTGCCGTCGGTTCTTCTTGCTATGTGACCAGCCCATTTCCACTTCCGTTCTTTTACTCTCTACATACAGATCAAGGGTGGTATTCAATTTTTTTTACTACTGGTGTCTTGGTGGGTGTGGCTTGGTGGGCATGGTATGGCTTGGTGGGCATGGCTTGGTGGGCGTGGTGTGGCTTGGTGGGCGTGGCTTGGTGGGCGTGGTGTGGCTTGGCAGGCGTGGCTTGGTGGGCGTGGCAGGGGAAGGATATACTGCAAAATCCCCTTCCCTCCCCACCCCACTAACCTGCTTTCCAGCTCCGTTCTCCTGTGCAGGGCAACCAAAGAAGAGCCAGCCAATCAGCTGGGATGCAGGAGGCGGAGCATAGATGGGGCAGGGCCAATCAGAGCTGGAATTCGCCGGTTCTCCGAACTACTCAAAATTTCCGCTACCGGTTCTCCAGAACTGGTCAGCACCTGCTGAATCCCACCTCTGAACAGGGGCTTCAGGACTCGGGAGCCTGATTCTTATTTTAAATCACATCATTTTTGCTCTTCAGTCTTTTTGGGCTATTTCCCTGCCACCCCCTCAACTAAAGAGCAGCCCCCTCCCTTTAGCGAGAAGGAGAGTTTGTTCTGCTGGTAAGGACCCCCACCCGGGGAATGGGGGGTGGGAGCAGGTGGCACAACAAGGGCAATAAGACGAGACAATAAACCAATAGGAAGAGGCTTTCCAGAAAGGCAGCCCATGCATTGCACAAGGCCCTGGGAAGGGGTTCCTTAAAAGGATCAGGAGCAGAGGTGGGCATTCAGCCGGTTCTGACCAGTTCTGGAGAACCGGTAGCGGAAATTTGGAGTAGTTCGGAGAACCGGCCAATCCCGCCTCTGACTGGCCCCGCCAACCCCCATCTCTTCTCTGCCTCCCCTTGAGTCCCAGCTGATCTTCCTTGGTTGCCCTGCACGGGAGAACGGAGCTGGAAAGCAGGTTAGTGGGGTGGAGAAGGAAGGGGGATTTTACAGTCTTCTTCCTCTGCCACGCCCACCAAGCCACGCCCACAGAACCAGTAGTGAACCATTTTGAATCCCACCACTGAACCAGAGACTCTCTCTCTTCCCGATTCACGCCGTCTTCGTGGTGCTGTTATCCTGCCTGGGTCCGCCCCCTGCAGGGGATGCCCACCACTCAGCGCTGAAGCTTGGCTGCCTCCCAGCTGCCCAAACGCTTTGGGCCCCTTACCCCAATCCACCGGCCATACCCAGGTCTTTGGCCCCATGCAGCTTCTCCAGCCGCTCCTCCACCTCGCCGCTTCCACCAAGTGTAGCCTCTTGGCTAACAATCGCACTGACGCACAATCCTTGTCTATGGAGGACTCTCCGCCATTCAGGTGACAATTGTCCCAGGGGTGCTTTCTCCAAAAGGCTACTGGACTTTCTGGGGGGGGGGGGGGGGTTCCCCCCCTTAAAGATATCTGGCTTCTCAGGCAAGAAGCAGATAAATAGATAATCAGAGTTGGAAGGGACCTCGTAGGTCATCTAGTCCAACCCCCCGCCCAAGCGGGAAACCCTACACAATTTCTGACAAATGGCAGTCCAATCACTTCCTAAAAGCCTCAAGTGATGAAGCTCCCACAACTTCCAAAGGCAAATTCTGTTCTATTGGTTTGATGGTTCTCCCTGTTTGATGGTTTGATGGTTCTCCCTGTCAGAAAGTTTCTCCTTATTTCCAAGTTGAATCTCTTCTTGTTCAGTTTCCATCCATTGTTCATTCCATCCATTAGCGAAGAAGACCTGAAGAAGCTTCTTGGATGAGAAACCAAACATCTTCAAGGAGCAAAAACCCAGAAAGTCCAGTTGCCTTTTGGAAAAAAACACCCGTGGGACAACCCTTGTCCACATTCTTCCAGCTTGTCACCAGGAATGACTCCTTTTCTTAAGGGTTGTTACCAGGGGAAGAACAATTGTGTCAACGGGGGAAGCAAAAGGGGCAGCCACTTACCAACACGGAGTAGATGTGGAAGCAGCGGTAGACGGGGGAGAAATCCACCAAATCCTGAGCGCCGGGAACCTGGGGCGACACGGAAGAGGGACAGGGTTTCATGCGTGCACACGTGTGTTACCTCTTCTGCGGGAGCTGCACTGATTGGCGATTTGCTTCCTGATGCAATTCAATTCAATCATTTAAAGCAGTGGGCCCCAACCTTTTTTGTGCCACGGCCCGGTACCAGCATCACAGAATGATCCGTGGCGCGGTACCGGCATCAGCACGCATGACAAGGCAAGGCGAGCCGAGCGACCAGCCAGCCAGCCGTCCCCCGCTTCTCCCTGCCACCTTCAACTCCTCCTTTGTACCTTTGTCGATGGGCTTCACTTCGGGACGGCTTCGGGACGGTCGCTCGGCTCGCCTTGCCTTGGGTGCTGAAGGAATCCTCGCGCCTTAGTTTCATTCGAAGCCGCCCCCCCCTTCGATGAAACTAAGGCGCGAGGATTCCTTCAGGACCCAAACGCCGCTTTCCAACCGGAAAAGCTCACCCGGAAGCACTTTCTCATCAAACAAAATGGCGGCGCCCAGCAAACTGGCAGCCCGGTAGGAAATGTTCCACAGACCGGTACCGGTCCACAGCCCGGTGGTTGGGGACCCCTGATTTAAAGCCCTTCCTGGCTTGGGACCAGGCGATCTGAGGGATAACTGCCTCTTCTTGCCTGTCACATCTACCCGACCCGTTAAGAGTGGGGAGGCAGGGAACGTTGCGGGTCCCACCCCCGAGGAAGATACATCCGATGAGACCCAAAAGAAGGGCCTTCTCCGTGGTGGCTCCCTCACTCTGGAGTATCATTTCCCTCAGAGATTAGAACGGTCCCTACTCTAGCACTCTTCCGGAAGGCACTGAAGAAGACCTGGTTCTGCCAGCCGGCCTGGGGAGCCCAAAGAAGGATGGAGCCCATCCAATGGTTCGTGTGATCTGCTCTTGTCGGAACAGGGAGCGTGGGAGTTGTTGTTTTTTCCGCCCCAAAATTTTGTTCTATTGTACTTTACTAATTTATTTGATTCTTTTTGTTAATTTTTATTGTTTTTTATTTTTTGTTTTAAATATGGTTTTACTTTGTGTAAGCTGCCTCAAGTCGCCATGGGTGAATAGGCGGCAATATAAATCAAGAAAGAAAGAAAGGAAGGAAGGAAGGAAGGAAGGAAGGAAGGAAGGAAGGAAGGAAGGAAGGAAGGAAGAAAGAAAGAAAGAAAGAAAGAAAGAAAGAAAGAAAGAAAGAAAGAAAGAAAGAAAGAAAGAAAGGTAGGAAGGAAGGAAGAAAGGTAGGTAGGTAGGAAGGAAAGAAGGAAGGAAGGAAGGAAGGAAG